TAAGAGGGCTTGCACTTGGATTCTTTGCTTATTCCTTCCCTTATGCAAAATCCGAAACTTGCATCCTCTCTCCCACTCTCTCTAGTTTTGGTTAGAAAACTTGAAAAATAATTGCATCTTCAAGCCTTCTTTAAGTTCATACTGGTTATGAACTTAAAGCTTAAGAGTTTAAGAGTTTTGGACTAGCATCTACATAAAGTTGAGTCATTGTTGGTGTCTCAAAGGTTCCACATTCTTCATCAACTTCCAAGCCTCCCAAGAGGACCCAAAGAACTATAAAGCTTGTTATTTCTTAATCATTCATTTGGTTGGTGTTTAATCTCTCTATAAATTGAAAGAAGATTCTTGGTGGGTATAAAATGTTTATGTTATTTCAAAAAATTAAAGTCTTTCGTTGCCATACATTTAAAGTTTTTGAAACTTTTTTTGAACTAAAACCCAACAAGGAGATGGTGGAGAATGGTAGAGAATCTGGGGGCTGTATTATCTTGATTGTATCCCCTCAGGTATTCCAACTAATATAACTAACTCTAAGTGTTGTGTTTCTAAACTTACCTGGCATAGTAAACTTGGTCATCCAGCTGATCAAGCCTTGAGTTCTTTAAAAGAACAGCTAAAACTTGGTAATGAGACACTTCTTCCTTGTGATGTCTGTCATAAGGCAAAACAGACAAGAGAGTCCTTTCCACATAGTCAGCATAATTCAACTAAACTAGGCGAATTGATTCACCTACATGTTTGGGGACCATATAGACTTGCCTCAGTTGAGGGTTTTAGGTATTTTCTGATTATTTTGGATGATTTTACTAGGGCCACTTGGGTTTTTCTCTTAAGGTCAAAAAGCGAAGTTTTTGATTGTTTTAAATCATTTGTTAATATTCTTCAAACTCAGTTTAGTGTTAAAATCAAAGTGGTTCGTTCAGATAATGGAACTGAATTTGTTAATAATCAATGAGTTGTTTTTGTTTTGAAAATGGTGTCATACAACAAACATCTTGTGCTTACACTCCACAACAAAATGGGGTTGTGGAGAGAAAGCACAAACATATTCTCATTGTAGCTCGTTCTCTTCTTTTTCAATCAGGAGTTCCTTTTAAATATTGGGGAGATGTAATTTTGACTTCTGTCTTTTTTAATCAATAGGATTCCTACCTCTGTTTTAAATGGATTATCTCCTTATGAACTTGTTTTTAAAAGAACTCCAAGTTTTGACCATTTAAGAGTTTTTGGTTGTTTATGTTTTGCTGCTAAACAAAATGTTACTGATAAGTTTTCTGAACGTGTTGAGAAATGTGTTTTATTAGGGTATTTTTATGATAAAAAGGCTTATAAACTTCTTAGTATAGATACTAATACTTCTTTTGTATCCAGGGATGTTAAATTTTGTGAATATGTATTTCCGTACAATTTAAAGTCAACTGCTGTTGATAAATTTTCAAATAGTTATGGCCCTAGTGATCCTTTTTCCTATGATGTTTTTGACACTAATGAATACTTAATTTAATGATTCTATATATCTTGATGAGCCAAGAGTAGAATCCCATTTGGATGGTGCTGATGCAGTCACCAACCTGGATGATGTCAGTACTAGTGAGACTATCAACCAAAGTGGCGAGGCAATTATGCCTCCTACTGGTTTTTCTGTTCCTTCTTCCTCAAGTGTGTCTGAGGAAAGTAGTCAGTTACACTCTACTCCTTCAATTGAGCAATCTATAGGTTCTTCTAGGACTAGACGTGAGTCACATATGCCAGTCAAGTTTGCTGATTATATTGTGGAAGGGAAATACAAATATGGTATTCAGAGAACCATTAACTATTATTGCCTTAATTCTGAAACTAAATGTTTTATTCTAATCTCAATAAAATAATTGAACCTAAAGATTATAATGAAGCATTGTCTGATCCAAACTGGATCAAGGCAATGAATGAACAAATGGAAGCACTTCATCAAAATCATACTTGGGAAATAACTAAATTACCTAAAAACAGAAAACTAATTGGTTGAAAATGGGTTTTCAAATTTAAGTATAAATCAAATGGAGAAGTAGAAATGTATAAGGCACGTTTATTTGCTAAAGGATATAATCAAAGAGAGGGTATAGATTTTGAAGAAACTTTTTCTCCAGTTGCAAAAATTGTGATTGTTCGTATTGTTATTTCATTATCTGTTCATAACTCTTGGCCCCTATACCAATTGGATATAAATAATGTATTTCTTTATGGGGACCTCTCAGAAGATGTGTATATGTGTCTTCCACCTAGATATTATTCTAATAATGATTCTAGGGTTTGTAAACTTACTAAGTCTTTATATGGTTTAAAGTAGGCTCCTAGGAAGTGGAATGAAAAACTCCGTGCATATTTGTTTATGTTTGGTTTTCAACAAAGTATTAGTGATTATTCGTAGTTTATTAGGAAATTTGAAAATTCAATAATTGTTTTATTAGTATACTAGTTTATAACCCCGTTAGAACCACATATATAAAATTAATTAAACTTTCATATTAAAAAATCAAAATTATTAATAAATTATTTTAAATAAATTATTACTTAGGAGATATTTTTTTAGTTATATAAATTTATAATCGTTGATTTAAATAAATACGTGAAGTTATATAACCTTATAATCTATATTAATTTTTTTTATCTAATGTTATTAATTTAATATAATTAAAGTGAAAAAATTAAAATTTTGAAATTTAAAATGAAGATTCAATTTTAATTTAATGTAATTAGAGTGAGAAATTTAAAATTTGAAATGGATAATTAATAAGTTGACAAATGGCATGATAGGTGACATATAATATTAATGAGGAGTTCTAATATTATGACACTTGTCAATATGAGAATAAACTTATTCATTTATTAGAATAGGGATGTTGATGATATCATTTTAACTGGAAGTCATGAGACTGAACTTCAAAGGGTCAAATATTTTATGAAAAGTCAATTTTTGATTAAAGATCTTGGCATTCTTAAATATTTTCTAGGAATAGAAGTTGTAAACCTTGATAATGGGTTGTGTTTGAATAGAGGAAGTATTGTCTTGAGCTACTGCATGAATATGATATGCTTGGTTGTAAACCAATAAATACACATTTAGAAACTAGTTTTATAATAAATTCAAGTGAGTTTGATAAAAGTGATAAGTTGTTAAATAATAAAAACAGAGTTTCAAAAGCTTATTGGCAAATTGATATATCTTACTGTTACTAGACCTGATATCTCATATGTTGTTCAGGTTCTTAGTCAATTCATGCACAAACCCAGATTATCTCATTTGAAAGTTGCTTATAGATTATTGAGTTATTTGAAAAGTAGTCATGGAAAAGGGGTTGCATTAACTAAGTCAAATGGTTTTGAGTTGAAAAGGTTTGTTGATGCAGATTTGGGCTAAGTGCCTGACTATGAGAAAGTTTGTAACAGGTTATATGGTTTATTTTAATAATTCTTTAATTTCGTGGAAGTGTAAGAAACAATCTACTGTTTCTAGATCTTCTACTGAATCTGAGTATAAAGCTCTTGGCTCTATTATATGTGAAATAATTTGGATTTTGAAAGTGTTATTTGAGTTGGAAATCAAAGGTCTTACTCCTGTTTCTGTTTTTTGTGATAATGACTTAACAATTAAGTTAGCTCTTAATCCTGTTTTTCATGAAAGGACAAAACATTTTGAAATTGATCTCCACTTTGTTAGAGAAAAAATTTCTAATGGAGTGTTAAAAATGGTTAAAATAAATTCTTCTGATCAAAATGTTGACATTCTTACTAAATCTTTAAGTGTTAAACAACATGGTTTTTTGTCAAATAAAATGGGTCTTATTGTTGTTTTTAGAAAAGGAAAATAATAAATATTTCGATTGATGGGGGATGTTGAAAATAATAAATATTTTTAAATTACAATCTCATGTTTATTATTTTTCTTTTATGGGTTAATTGTAATACAATTGTGAAAGAAAGGGCATATGTGTTCCATTCAAATTGTGTTGGATTGTGGACATAAATATGCAAGTTAAATCACGCGAGTTTTATCCATGGGTTAGAATCGTGTCCGGATCTGGATCATATTCATGAACCGGGGTATAAAATGAAGAGAGAGAGAGAGGGTGCTGGGTTATTCATTCAGTCATTTTTTAGATCAAGCTTGTTAGAGTTTTTCTCTCGTTATCTCTCTCATTTTCTCACCTGTAAAGTTTAGGGTTTCCTATGCAGTTCTTTGTATATATAACTTCTAGATTTTTTTTCATGATATTGATAGAATAGGTTGAGTGATTAATTTGGAGAGTAGATTAGGGTTTTTGTAGAGATTTTTACGTTGTAAGTATCTTAAAAACCTTCTATTTTCTTAATCATCAAATGATATGAGAAAGGGAATTGATATTTCCACCGTGTTTTTTTATACATCCACTTACTCCTACAGAATGCTAAAGAAAATTGACAATTGTACCCTTTGTTTATATTTAGAATGTAATTATTGTCTATATTTAATATAATATATATATATATATATATATATATATATATATATATATATATATATATTAAATTCCTTTGTTATAAATAAAATAATAAATTAACCCAACTCCTTTTATCTCCACCACATTCACCTTTCGTCTACACCACGTCGGAGAATTTCAACCTACATTTGCAGTGACCTCCGATTCGATTTTACCGCAATCTTAAACCTATAACTCCTTCTTCATCTGCTCAAGTTACTGGTCTTCCCCTTGAACCAAAATCTCCTACAGAGTCCCATCTTTCTTGATTCTTTCATTCCTTCTGTTACTGGTCATTGCCTTCCTCGTCTCCTGTTATCATCAATAAACTCTCCCATCTTTTCCCAATACAAATAAACATAAGCATCACCGGACCTTCCATAGAAATACCCACCTCTAATCGATTCCATTTGGGGACGAAGCTCACCCGAAAAGTCCCTCCCACCACCGCCCCTCTGTCATCTTCACGAAACTCGAAAGCAGAAGCCTTACTCATCACCAACGATGAAACCTCGAAGAACTGTTAAACCAATAAACTCCCGCAAATCGAATTTTGAAACCTTAAAACCCAATGGACCAACAAATCTGATTTTGAAAGGTGGTTTTGATTTTGGTAGTTACAGGTGGTTTCTTGAAGTTGAAATTGTCGATTTAGTTGGTGGTTCTGCAATGGTTTTGTAGGTAATTTTGGTACTTATAGGTGGTTTTCTTCTAATGATTTTCGATTTTGCAGGTGGCGGCAGAAGGAGCTGTTTCCAACGAAGGTGTGGGTTGAAGGTCTCCGGAGTGGGTGTCGACGGAAAGTGAGGGTGGGCGTTGACGGAAGGGAAGAAAAAGATTAAAAAAGATATGTTATATTAATATTAAGAAAGATATATTACACTCTAAACATAAATGGGCATAATTGTCATTTCCCTTTGGAAGTCTAGGGATGTATAAGAAACATCAGTGGAAATATCAGCACCCTGTAAGAAATGGTTTTTGGAAAAGCAACACAGTCCTAAATCCTAAAACACATAATCTTTCTATAATTACTCAAATTTGCCAATGGTAGCGTCCCAAACAATTTAAAAAGGTGAAGAGAATGATGAAGTGTCATTTAATATTACATGCCATGGATATGTTATGTTTATGAGATCTTACAAGTAAATATGTTAAATATTAACCACGTCACTTGAGTGTAAAAATCTTTCATTAGTACATTAGCTTTCAATGTACAAAAAATTCCACTAGCATATCGAGACAAACGAAAATATTCCTTGCTTTTTTATAAGCTTAATCCGACGATAAATTTGGAAAGTTACTCGATTTAAAATGTTTTAAAACATAATTTAATTACTAAACACACGTATTAGGATGCCAATATTTGCGATGTGATGACGTAATTAGAGTTAATTCAAAACATATATGAACAAATATTTTAAATATACACTTTACTAATAATCAAATAAAATTACAGAGTTAAATGTCTGATAAAATTTAATGGAAACCGAAGGATTATGTTAGAATCTTGCAATATTTTATTATATGTTTCACAGGTTTTCCAAAATAAGATAAAACTAGGTGTTTGTTTTCTGAATATTTTTTAAGGAACTCATTTTTATTGCCTTCCCTTGACCTTTTTGGTGCGTTACCTTCTCTATTTGCCATGGGGACAAAGGGAATACACGATAGATCGATGAATAAGGAAATATAACTTCATTTGTGGTCTCAAAGTAAAGAGATCCATTACATCACCAACAAAGAAAGATCCTTCATGTTTCATTATCTACCTATATTTTAATATTTTTCTTCCAAATCATCGAACCTTTCATTCCTGTCCTACGAATCCATATGTTCAGTCTACTGTTTCTTTAGGGTTTCTTCCATTTTTTCACTAGATCTACATGGACTTCTGTCATATGTTCTTAAAATTTCAAGGGTTTATGTGTTAACAGTCTCTTTGCCCCAAATCTTGAACTCAAGTCTCTAGGTTTGACTTGTTTCTTGCTCAAACTTGGTAAAGTTCCGTAATTTTGTTGGGTTTGTACTTGTTTTCTTTCCTCGTGAGGTTTTGCGATATCAAGATTATCTTACTTTGTTTGTGTGTATGTGTTGCAGGAAATGGTGAGAGGAAAGGTTGAGCTGAAAAGAATAGAGAACACAACAAGCAGGCAAGTTACTTTCACGAAGAGGAGGAATGGGCTTTTGAAGAAGGCTTATGAGCTTTCAGTTCTTTGCGATGCTGAAGTTGCTTTGATTATTTTCTCTCAAAAGGGAAAACTCTATGAGTTTTCAAGCTCCAAGTACGTCCTCTCTCTCTCTCTCTCTCACACACACAACACACACGCACACGCACACACACACGTATTTGGTTTCAAGTATGTTTGCATTTTTAAGTATTTTAAATTACTAGATATGAAACTACATAGTAGGTGTATCTATATGAAGTACCAGTAACCAAAGCTGCAGGCTCCAGTTTTGGTTTAGTTTTTTTTTTTTTAATTTTCAAGATGTGGTTTGATTTGATTGTGGAGTTTTACTTGATCTCACATCTTTGTGAGACAGAGTACGTACCTACTCTTCGGTACCTTCTTCTGCTTTGATGGGGGCTGGTCACTATTTGATTACGGAACTGCTTTAGGCAATTCATTTTTTGGTGTTTTATTTTTATTTTTATTATTATTACTACTATAATTCTGTTTCCTCATTGACCATTGGATCATAGCTTTTGATCTCACTAAATTACTAAAACAAGAAGCCAGCCCTTTCTTTTTGTTTTCATGACCTAGATTCGGGGAGCCTTTCACCATAAAACCTTGTAATTATAAAATATTCTAGTCACAAATTCAGACGGATAAAAGTAGAACATAACATTTTTTAAGGTTTCTAGACATATTTGGTTATCATTACCTAGAAATCGTGGGTTTAAATTCAACATTTATATATATGAATGATGGACAACTGGAGTTCTGTCTCTTTGTATGTCGTTTTTGTGAGGAAGGTAGTTTTACATGCACACATCACATGTTCAATCAAGGCCAAAGTGGTCGAGAGTTTAATTTCACCATCAAAGATATAAAAATATAACTTACACCAATGTAAGGACTATAACTATGGAGATGGATGGAAGCCCTATTACATAAATAAGAATTTATCTTTTTCGACCATTTATCCAACATGATGAATAATGTATGATGTTCGTACAGCTAGCAACACGTAGTTGTTGAGACATGTATATCATATATATCTTTTGATATTTTGATTTTAAATTTAAATGTTATGTTTTTCTAAGAGTGAGAAAACCATTTGTACAACCCCAAGTTCAAAAAAAAAAATAAAAATGCAACTATAAAATTTCGGTAGACATATAATTATCATCAAAATATACAATCATCGAAATAACTTTCGATGGTGAAACCGTTAATGCAACATAAAAATTCTAAAACAATAACTAAAGAATATATATTATATCAATCCATTTTATGATTCGCGATTATTTAGCAATAATGTTTTATTTTATTCAAGAAATTATTATCTTCGAGTATACTGAGATACACCAATAAGTATACAACTAATTCCTGTGTGACCAAAGCGGCACCTAGTTGCTCACTTTTTTAGGAACGATGTTTTTTTTTTTTTTTTTTTTTTTTTTTGAAAAAGAAGACTCCACTTATAAACAAAAACTTGATAATAAACCTTGTGCATCAAGGTACAAGAAAGAATCAAAGAAAACTTGCAAGGATTAATTCTTTGATTCTCTTGTGAATACGTACAAAGCATAAAAAAAAATAAACATACTGTGAGCAGTAATTAAAACTGGACCTAGACATATTTATACTAAAAAAAGAGAATCCTATTCCAATAACAAAACTAAAAGCAATTGTCTATACCAAGTTTTCCTAAAATACCTTATTTAAACTATATATAAATAAACAAATCCTAAAATAAAGAAAGTTTCCTATTAACTGATTAATCCAACACCACTAACAAGCAAAGAAAACAAGGAAGGCTAAGAGTACATGAGAGGCTTACGTACTAATTAAGCAGAACCGCTATAGAACTTAAGAAAGAGGAATATAACAACTTCAAGAATCGACTTTTGTTTGCTTGATAACCTGTATGATTTGGGCATGGAGAAGAATTCCTCACTGGAGTGCACTAATAAATGTTCACATAACCCAACATAAATAGCACAGAATTTTAATTACTGCTCGTTAATAGCATTAAAGAAACAAAAAACGTGATCTCTTTTACCACTAAGCACCCAGTAAATGGTTCCCTAACCCTAATTAACTAACTACCAACTACCAAGGATTATAAACGAATAGCAATGGGCAAAAAACCTCAATATGAATAACATCCGTAGTTATTGAGACTAGAATTACGAAGAAAAAACTCATACACACCAGAAAAATATAAATGCTTTATCAGTCATTACACAGAAAAAAGGACTATGATGAAGTGGAACACGAAATATCGTGATTTAGGTGTTAAGAAGGAACAAAGAGGTATTCTCACATACGATGCTACATAAAAGTACATCAAGAAAAGAGCAAATTACAGAAATAATTCTTGTGGTTTGTTCAAATTTATAGTTTTGGTCCATGGTTGAAAATTGATAGATAGTATTTCTATGGTTTTAACAAATTACACAATTCGTCCCTCTATCCAAAAGACTATTCTATCCTTTATAATATCTTTTTTTTTCTTTTACTAATTATATTGTAATTAAAATAAATAAAAATTGCCCATCTATCTAGCCCACCCAACCCCAACCTTGGCCCGACAATCGGATTGGGTTCAGGTTGGCGGTTCACGAGTTGGCAGGTCAGAAAACATTGACTCAACTCAACCCATATAATATATAGGTTGGCGGGTTGTCGGGTCACGGGTTGGTGGCTTGGAAACCTCAACCCAACCCAACTCATATAACTTGTTTAAGTATATGGGTTCGCAAGTTCACAAGTTAGTGGGTCGAACCCAATCCATATAACCCATTTAATAAATAAATAACGCATTTTCAAAAATGAGTTTTTTTCAACATAAAGTCATAAAGTGATTACAATTTTAACATAAAAAAAAAGGTTTTCAAAATAAATTCATAAAGTCATTAACATCTAAATAAAATTTAAAAATGAAAATACTCATATAAAGTGGATGCGTTCTTCGTTCGTGAGTATCTAAAAATGAAATGTGTTTTTTTCTTTTTTGATTAGGGCACCGCAGACATAGACTAGCCATATGCGAATACCGAATTAATACAATGATATAAAATATTACAGATACGGAAGGAAATTAGATTTTATATATATATATATATATATATATATATATATATATATATATATATATATATATACGGGTTGACGGGTCAAAAATCTCAACCCAAACCCATCTATTTTCGGGTTGGGTCGGTGTCGGGTTACGAGTTGGGTCGAGAGTTACCACCCCATGCCCACTCTATCGTCTTCATTTCCTCCTTCACCCCACAACTTTCACCATCTCCAAGCCCATCTCCTTCAAAAATGAATCCAATTCATATTTTTTGCCAAAAAATCAATGAAGGAGGGAGAGATGAGAAATCCAAATTTGAAGCTTCATCTAGAAAAAGAAAACTCACTTGCAAAAAAAAGGAGGGAAACATGTTAGAGGTGGAATAGAAACACAAATCTGTAAAGAATTTGATTTTTGTTTTCCTTAAGATGTTATCGAGATTTTCTTCCATTTTAGATATCTATTCTAAATTTTGATTTTTAATTTAGTTTTCATGTTCAGTTTCCACTTGTGTTTTATGTTGTTGCATGGGAGACATTTAGGTGTTGTTTGTTTTTGTCTATAGATCTTTTTGGTCTCTTCTATCTGTACCACGCAGAATAATATATAATATTTGATCTATATTTTTTTAATTGTCTATAATAAAGTCATAAAATTATTGAAAAACTTTTTTAAGTTAAAAAAAACAGTTTAATTAGATTTTAGTTTATTCTAGCAGCATGTAGATGTTAAAAAACAATCTTCTTCTTTTTGACTTCAAACTTTTGGTCCACCTCTTCTACTGTAGAGGTCTGCAGATGTGGTCCAAAGACTGCAGATATTTTGCTTCAGAAGAAAAAAAAACAGCACCTTAGTGCTCTCTATGTCTTAGCTCTTTTACCTATGTATTGTTGTTGATGCCCAATCTTTATTTTGGGATATCACATATTTTGACGAGTGTTTGTTTTTTGTTGTGTTAGTTACCATTTTTTTGTTTCTGAAGGGTTAATGTTATTTGTGTTAGTTACCATGTTTTTGTTTCTGAAGGGGTTAATGTTCTTCTGCTGTTGTTGTGTTTTTTTTCAAGTCGTTAACTTTGGTTATTTCTAAATATATGGTCATAATCATGGAAAAGTAGAATTTATAAGAAAAAACTCATTTATATATTTGTAGATGTAGTGTGAGGGTTGTTCGTTTGAATAAATTGGTTAGATTCAATGTGATCAAATATAAATGTGATTTTCATAAGGGAAAATAGGGCCAATTTAGAAAAACAAAATATAAAATCATGACTTAATGTTAAGAAAATAACACATTAAGACATTTTGTTAACGTTAAGTAAAAATAACAACAATATATACTACCATTAAATTTTTTGAAATTATGTTTATTAATATGTTTATTAAGTAAAAAAGAAACATTACCTAAATCATGTGTAACATAAATCATGTTTGACATAATCCACATAAATTTCTTAAATGATTAATAATTGACATTTATATATGGATTTTGTTTCTAGCATAGAAGTTCTATATCTCAGCAAAACTACTGAATTCATCTTTTTTAATCTTGTTCGTGTGTCATGAAATTTGATATAAACGACGTAAATTTCTTAAATGATTAGTCATTGATATTTATACTTTTATCCGTTTTAATTAGCATGCAGAAGACAATAGAAAAATATCGTGCAGATGTTAAGAAAGATGAAATCTGCACACCTGAAAATGAAGTACACGTACAGGTCAAGATTTATATACATTGTAGTATCATATACATAGTTAGTCTTTGATGCAACCATCTGAAGATTAAAAATGTTGTTTTGCAGCAATTGAAGCAAGAAGCTGCCGCCATTCAACAACAAATAGAGCAACTTGAAATTTCCCAACGGTTATTATCTTAATTAGATATTACTTTTCTTTGCCACAAATTTTCTTAATTTTTACCTCTTGTGCATATTGTTTCCATTATATAATCACTTCTTTTCATGCTAAAAATGGTTTGTACAAATGAATATCTTAGGAGGCTTTTGGGACAAGATTTGGTATCATGTTCAGTAGAGGAACTAAGTCATTTAGACAATAAGTTGGAACATACATTGAGAACCATTAGGGCAAGAAAGGTAATCAAAAGATCGTATCGAAAGTACAGAGATGTAATATACTGGCGATTATTCCATTTTAAGTTTTGGTCTCACTAACCTATTTTCTTTGGTTGATTTCAGACTCAGTTATTTAAAGAGCAAGTTGAAAAACTGAAAGCAAAGGTTTTAATTGTTCTAGCTCTTTAGAAACCAATATTAAATACATCCTCTTTTTACACACTTTTCACTATTCAGGAAAGATACCTCTTGGAAGAAAATGCAAGATTGTGCCAAGAAAACACAAGTTTATGCCAAAAGGTACATTATATCCGTAAACATTTTTGTCTTATTTTTATCACTAATAAAAGAAAAGGAAGGACCACAACTTATTCCAATCATGTCAGCGCATTGCAACTCCATCCCAACTGTACTCAACGAAGCAGAAGGATCCAGTTACAAGCAACCAAAGTAGCCAGTTTTCGGAAGTGGAGACCGAACTATTTGTCGGCCTGCGCGTCTCTCAGAATTCTACAAATTTATAGTTCTAAAAATTTGGCAAGTTTGATCAATAACCCATCTCCATAAAAATAGGATTAATGTAGTTTTATGTGCATGAGAATCCGGCAAAACATGTAACAAAAATATGAAGATGTCAACCTTTCATGCATAGAATAAAAGCTTGATACATCATACATGTATTTATTATTAAGACCATCATTTCTTTTACATGATATAGAGCTATATAGAATTTTGTGCATGAAGTGGAAAACTTGGTTGGTGTGTAAATGTATCCAGGATCATCTTTAGACCAACAAATTTTTATAAGAAAATATAGTAGAGGTTTCGTGTTTTTTTTTAAAATTTTTTTTGCAAGATGTGGTTTTATTTGATTGTGGAGTTTGACTTGATTGATCCCGCATCTCGATAAACAGACTACCTACTCTTTGGTACCTTCTTAATTCTACTTTGATGGGGGCTGGTCACTATTTGATTACGGAATTGCTTTAGGCAATTCATTTTTGGATGCTTTATTATTTTTTATATTACGTTTTTCTAGTAATTGTGTTGCCTCATTAACTGGTGGATCATGGCTTTTGATCTCAATAAATTACTAAAACAAGAAGCTAGCATTTTCTTTGTTCTCATGACCTGGATTCGGGCACCCTTTCACCATACAACCTTGTAAATTTAAAATATTTTTGTCATAAATTTGGTCAGATAAAATTATATAGAACATAACATTTTTTAGGATTTTTAGACATTACTATTATTTTGTCATGAACCGGTTTCTATCTCTTTATATTGACAAGATTTGGTTATCATTACCTCAAACTCGTGGGTTTAAATTCAAAATCTATGTATATATTAATGATGGACACCTTTATTTCTATCTCTTCGGATGTGAGGAACATACAGTCTTTTTTTTAACGAGAATACTTATGATGTACATAGTTTTACATACATCACATGTTTACATACGTCACATGTTCATATGGAAAGCAAGGAATGACTGATTATTCAACAACAACAAAGTACCGGCAACAAAGGTGGTAGATATCATAAAAGCAATCACGTTCTTATGGTTTAAACATAGGAAGGGTAATGAAAGTTTAAAATGGACAGATTGGAGCATAAGTCCTTTTATAAGTTTGTAATTTTTTCCTAATTATCTACTTGTATTCCTTCGCTGACTAGCATCTTGCTGAGTCGTTTTATTAATATATTCATTTGCTAGTTCAAAAAAAAAAAAAAAAAAACAAAAACATGTTCAAAGACAAAGTAGTTGAGATTTTAATTTCACCATCATCAAAAAATATAACTTGCACTAGGGGTATTCAAAACTATGGAGGTGTTGTATTTCAGAATTGATAGATAAATAATTCAGTGACTAGTTATTTAATCTAATACAAAATCGCTATTGATATCCAAAGAAAACAAACAGACATATAATATTAAGAGTTATATGTGGATTCATCATAAATAATAAATTTAAGTATTATTAATTAATTACCAAATTTTGAATAGAAATCATTGTGATTCTTCGCAATTATATATACATATGATTGTAAGAAAAGTAGAAGAAAAATGTCTTATTGCCAGACGATTTAAAAGAAGAGACATGTAAATTAAAATTTAACCTGGAAGACTACACATCATGACTCCATGAGTCATGCCTTTTGAAGTTTCTAGGACCTCTGTTAGTTTATAGTTTTATTTTCACTTCAGTTATAATGTAGGGGCCTTTATGTATCTTTGTTATATATATATACTAGGTGTGAGACCCATGTATTACATGAGTTTAATTAAAAAAAATTAAATATGAAATTTTAACAATTTGAAAAGTTCGAATTTATAAGAAAAATAAATTTTTTTTGAATTATTAAAATTAATGAGACTTAATGTATTGAATACATTACATATATAAACCCTTTTCTAATAAATACCTTACATATATATTACCTTACATATTAAATGTGGAATTTTAATTTAATAAAATGAAAAATACAATAAAATGACAAGTGGAAAAATAGAAAATCTAAAAATTTTAGAAAATGTCATGTGTCCAAATGAAGGAGAAGATGACATGTGGCAAAAAACCTTCATTTATTAGAGTAGAAGATATATATATATATATATATATATATATATATATATATATATATATATATATATATATATATATCTGTGTGTGTGTGTGAGAGAGAGAGAGAGAGAGAGAGAGAGATTATGTTATTGTATTCTAACTATCTATTGTGTGGATGTATGATTTATTGTGGACTAATCATTTAGTTATTTTAAGAAAGTGATTAATTAATATTATTGAATTAAAAATAATTGAAAAATATCATTTAATTTCACTATAAGGGTATTTTAGTCAAATGAGATAAAATTAAAAAAGTAAAATTTCAGATTTTTGGGGTTAATTAATTCTCTTGATTTAAAAATTCTGATTTTTTTAACTAATTCAATTTTAATTCTAACGTAATTTTTAATTATACCCGATTTTATTATGTCAAAATGACATTCTGTTAGAAATATATTATATAAGAATGTCAGGATACATATTTTTGAAAGAATACATATTTTCATTAAATGAACTTCTTGAAGAAATACAACATTCTTGAACCATTAGTTGAAAAATAACAAGATCAGTGTATATTCATGGACATGTAAATGTAGATTTATACATATATATTCTTACAGAATGTCATAAAAATGAAATAAATTCTTAAAAAACATAGCATGCTTAAATATACAATTTTTAAACAAATGCACTTGATCTTCAATGGTCAAGAGTCGACTTGATCCAAACCATTCTTACGAGAATGACATTCTATGAGACTAACATCAGACGAGAATTACATTTTGTAAGAATATCATTATGTGAGAACACATTTATCTTCATAGTCTAATATAGGTCATGTTCATGTATCTGCAAAACAAATACACATTATCAAATCCTATAATAAAATATCATTATAAATTTTAATGATTCTGACATAATGCATACCACATGGTCATAACCAAAGAATTTTGTATGGGAACCCGAAGAATATTTCTTCCTTATTTTGCAAGAATATTTGCCTTCCGCATTCTAAATTCTTCGTCATTCTGAAATAATATTTGCAGGTTTTAAATATCATTCATTAGATAAATCAAATAAATTTCATTACTCTAGAATGAAACTCGGTATGAAAGGACAAAATGGTCAAAATACTAAATTAGCTTTGAGACAAGCTCACATTATGTAACGCCTACGTTTCTGGATAGGCATTAATGTTATAATGTAATAGTTAGGGTCGACAATATTTGAATATTATGTGATTTATGTGCAATATACGTGCTTATAACGATGTAATATAATAATAATAATAAATATGCATCAAAAATAAAAGACAAAACTGCATTTTTGGTCCCTGTGGTTATCCAAAAATTGTGGATAAGGTCCAAAATGTTTTCAAGTTGCATGGTTGGTCCAAAACATGAAACTTCTTGTGGTTTTGGTCCCTGTACTTAACTCCCGTCTATTTCCTTCTGTTTAGTGTAGCACGTGCCCTCCATGTGAGGTTAATTTCGTCTTTTCATATGTATTGCACATTACCACCAATTGAAAGCTCTACATGCTATTTGTGTATATCATCCCTAATTATCAGTTGGCTACTCCTATTCCTTCACCCACCTTTGACGACGTGAAGATAAAAAAAACCTAATCACAAACCCTTTTCCTGATCGAGCTTCAATCTGTTGTTGAAATTTCGCAAATGGTTCTCACAATGTGATCCATCAGAGCGCACGGTGAAGAAATTGATACCAACCAAATTTATGGTAAGATGCTCTGTATTTGATCACGTTCTTACACTTTTGAAATCTAAAAATCTTTTTTTGTTTTTTTTTTGAAGCTGGACATCCCACCATGTTCAGTATTGAACTTCATCATGGTGGGAAGTTCACAAAGTTTCCAGGCATCAAGTATATTGAAGGGGTTGTAGCATACATTGCCGTGGTCGATATAGAAGAATTCTCAGTACACGAAATGGACTCCATCATGTTAGATTTAGGGTATATTGTTCCACCTGTCATCTACTACCATTTCCATTTGCCCAATGAGGGTTTGGATTTTGGACTAAGAGCTCTAGGTAATGATGATGATGTACGTTACCTATCAAAATATGTGAGTGAGAACAAACTGATAAAAGTGTACACAGAGCATGCAGAAACAACGTTAGTTACCTATTTCATGTCCCCAAATGGTCGTAGAAGGGTTATAATAGAAGAGATAGAAGATGAGGAACCACCTCAGCCCGTATCCCCTACTGTTGGTCCTCACTTGGTGGAATTTGAAGTTTGTAAGGGTAAAGTAGGGTTGACCTTGGCAAGGTATGGGTCTTCATACTTGAGTTGAGTAGGGGCAGAGGTTGGAAACCTGCCCAAGGTAGCTCATCATGTAGTAAAAAGCTTTGCTTGGATTAGGTAGACAAAGGAGGAATAGGTGTTGTTGAAGGTGATCAAGTTGAACTTGTGACTACTAATGTTGGTGAAGAAATGGTTGAAAAATCAGTGAATGAAGGTGTAGAGGAGGGACATACAACTGCAAATGAGGTTGTAGAGGAGGAGCAACCTATTGCAAATAAGGGTGTAGAGGAGGAGTGTACTGCTATGAATAAGAAACACCAATCAAATGAAGTCCCTTTTGAAAACAACTATAGTGTAGAAGAGGAATTGTTGGAAGATTTTGACCCTTTCTATGGGGTTAAATTTAATGAAAGTATTCCAAAAAATCATCCAACATAGCTGATGTAGATGCAAGTAGTGATGATGATTTAGAGAGTAGTGAATACAGCAGTGAAGATAGTGACTTTATGGTTGATGAAGATAACCTAATTCTGGATATTGAAGTAGACATGGAGAATTTTCACATGAGTATAGACACAGATGCAGAGTACTTAGGGAGTGAGTATAAGTTTCATGAGTGTAATGATGTTCAAGAGGAAGTAGAGGATATAGAGGTTATTAACAATGATGAATGGGTTTCTCTAGGTGAAGATTCAGACAATGATAGGAAAAAGAAGGGAAGTCATCAAACAGTTAGGCAATGAGAGAGTGTGTTCTCATGGTGAAGTTCACAAGGTGGCCTTCCATGTAGGACAAAAATATAACACAAAAAAAAGAACTAAAGGAAAAAATTGATATGCATGCATTGGAGACTAGAAGAAATATTTGTTTTACAGAAAATGACAAACATAGGTTGACATCTGTTTGTAAGGGAACTGTGGTAGTCAATGCAAGTGGGGTTGGTGGACCTACCACAAAAAAGGTAAAGGGTAAAGAAGTAATTGAAGAAAAGGCCAAGTGTACTTGGAGACTCCACGCATCTAGGGCAAATGATAATGTGTACTGGTTTGTAAAGACATATAATTGCAATCACATCTGCCTTCAGTCCCGAAAAATCAAATCTTGCACTGCCACCTTCATTTCGAAAAAGATTATGGATCAGATTGAATCAAATCCTGGAGTGCCAATTCGTGCAATTCAAGAGGAGCTACAGAGGATGTATGAGGTTAGTATTTTAGGTGACAAAGTTTTTAGGGCTAAAGCTCTCGCAACAAAAATGGTGGTTGGATACTATACTAAACAGTATGCAGTTTTAAGAGATTATGTAGCCTAAGAGTGATTGTCCAACAACCCTTACCCCTCCACCACACCACAAGCAGCCAGGAAGACCAAAAAGGAAAGGGAGGCAGACTGCCGATGAGAAGAGTATAATCCAAAGTCAGAAAGAGAACCCACAACAAGGTCAATGTGAAAGTCAGAAGCTAACTAGGAAATCTGTGAGTGTGACATGTAGCAAGTGTAAGAACAAAGGCCATAATTCCAGGATATGCAAGGGTAAGGGGGAAATGGAGGTACCAGTCAAGCAAATAAAGTTTGAAGTGTTGCAAGGGTAGGCTACTAGATTTTGTGTTTTATTTGTCGTTGTAATAGTTGGTAATGTTTTAAAACTCTAGTTATTAAGTAATATTTATGCCCTTTTGAACTTGGTTATGTAATAGTTATGAACTTTTGAACATGGTTATGCAATAGCTATGCAATTTTGGTACTGCTTAATGGTAATGTTTGGTTTTTGTTTTGTTAAAGCAGCTTTTGGTAATGTACTTTCTAGTATTCTGTTATGGTTAACATCATAGTCAATATTTAACATTTTCACTATTACACCATACACTATTATCATAACCATTTCAACTGAGACAATTTATAACAAAAACTACTGAGACAATTTATAACAAAAACTAACACTTTCATTAAAAACAAGTTACCATTGATAACCAAAAACTAACACTTTCAGCTTACAATTTATAACAAAAACTAACACTTTCAGCTTACAAAAACCAACACCAAAACACAACATTACAACAATCTTCCAAAAACTACACCCTAACATGTAAGCCCTAATTCCTAAAGTAGATAACCAAAAGAAGCAGAACCCAGTTTATAACCAAATACATCTTGAGTTTTGTTGATTCATGTTGCATATTCCCCAAATCCAGCTCATGCATGTTGATTGATCTCAGCAATCCTGGTATTATAGTTGTCGATCTTGGACACATGGGGGTCAACCCACCCAATAAATCCACGTTTTGAGTCCTACAATTATACAGAAAAGTGGATGGATTATTAAATCAAAATCGTTGACCTAATTATGCACATTGTTACCTGTTTAGGGCATGCAAAGAAATGACGACCAGGGTTTAAATCTGTCCAGGAGGTTCGCATAACAACATCTCTTCCACAAAAACACAGTTGTTGCACCATTGTGAGTGAACAAAGAAATCAATCAACCGAGAAAGAGTAAAAGAGAAAGATACGTTGTCTGAATGAAGATGAAAGAGAAGAGAGACGTTGTGGGTTGGGTCTTAAAGGAGTTTTCAAACCATAGGGGCCAATAGATGAAAAGACGAAAGTACCCTCACATGGAGGGCACGTGCTACACTAAACGGAAGGAAATAGACAGGAGTTAAGTCCAGGGACCAAAACCACAAGAAGTTTCATGTTTTGGACCAACCATGCAACTTGAAAACATTTTGGACCTTATCCACAATTTTTGGATAACCACAGGGACCAAAAATGCAGTTTTGTCAAAATAAAATAACAGATAAACTCAATATCTATGAAGAAAGTTGAAGTAGTCATAACAAGGATTTTGGGGATATAAGGAACGCTGAAATCCGACTTATAACGAAAAAGTTATGACCCGTTGAAGTTTTGCCACAAAACTGGCACAACGCTGTATGTCGTAAAAAGTGAGTTTGCGATAAAATAATTTTTAGCCTTAACGATCTAAACGAAAGTCGTAGTATACGTTAGACCGAGAACGTACATAAAACGAACGTCCAAATCTGACTTTGTATGAGGAAGTTATGCTTTTTCTAAGATTTAGCATAGCAACAGCCCGGAAATCGAATTTTAGATCGATCGATTTTTAGCCGACACAATCTAAACGAGAATCAAAGATCTCGTTAATAGGAGCTCAACGATATAAAGACAGATGAAAACGGACGTCGGATGACAAAGTTATGAATTTTTAACAGACTTTATCTGTCTAAGTCTGTTATAATATAACTTTAAAAATAAAGTCAAAATTAGCCGATGGAGTCTAAACAACAGTTGTAGATCACGTCGCTACTTACGCGTGGATATATAGAACGTCAAAAACAGAGCTCGTATGCGAAAGTTACAAAATTTAGAAGTTCATTAAATTATGGAAGAATGCGAGGGTGACACATGGCTGAATCAAGGCCATTCCTTTCTCTCCACGGCTTCGCTTCGGATGGTGACACCTGTCCCCTCATACGTGAAGCGTAGGTCTTCGGACTCCCCGCATACTGAGTACGGCCAGCGTAATCCGCAGCTGCAGCCTATAAATAGATGCTAAGTTCTTCCATTTTTCTCACACCTTTCCCATTCATTCTCTCTCAAACACCCTCCTTAGCCCATCCCATTCCCTATTACTTCCCAATTGTTAGACAAGAGTCCCGGAGTGCCAGAAGGCTCTGAGAAGAAGAGCTTTCAGCTCAGAAGTTCTGCCCCCGCAGAGCCCGACTCCTAGCTAAACCCCTTGTAAGTGAGTTATGTTTACCCTACTTTAAGTATAGCGTATGCTTAAGTTCATTATCGTTATTATGAACCTATAAACAATATATGTGCTAAGTATTATAAATTATACAAAGTGTTATTATAATATCTTTTAACTGCTCGTGGTACGGGGAATCTGGTTTGAAGGGCCACATAGGGTTGTTGGATTTCAGAACAGCTTAAATGCCAAAATGGTCCTACCCTCCGGTGTTTCATGTCTGGCCCCTGTCTATACATAGTAGTTGAAAATTATTGTTTAACACTTATATAATACAAGAAAAACAATATTACCTAGACTAATAATTAGTCGCAATAAATATTATACTAAGATCTAGTGATAATGATACTAGGTTTCGTCGAAGGAAAATAAAATTGTTAGAAGCGAAGCGCTGCCCGAGTTTGGAGTCATCACTTTAACAAGTGAGTGCATGGTTACTTTCATCTTACACATAGATATGAAGTATTTAATATACATTACGTGTTATACGTGTACATTATCTGTGTTCTTGATATCTATGCTGGATGAACGATGTATACATGTTGTTACATGATTTAATCTGTATATGTATTTTATACCTATCAATATATTGGGAAAGACGGGTAGATGAAATAGATGATGAGCGATGAAATAAAATGATGAGAGGCCTCGATGTTGAAAGCTGACCTAGTCATCTAGCAGAGCATAGATGACGACCACAAACTATTCTAGATAGTCTAGTGGAACGCTAGCAGACTCGAAACTTGTAGGTGTTTGTGAATGATATGTTCACCGGTGTACTCCATCCCCTTCATGGTTGCCTAACTGACATATATTGCTGAGGAATCCCCTAAGCAGTATTGTCTTCCCGGTGACGATCCTTAGGGTAGGTCCCTTAATGTAGATGCTTTAGGGACAGAAATTGAGGATAACGGGAACGGGTAATCAGGTTGATTGATGTGATGAAAATTAATAAACTTAATTATCGTGGGTTGAAAACCTTATGTGCTCATCAGGCTCCCAAGCCTGACCCACTCAGTTTCTTGTATACAGGTAGTGGCAAGAGAGCACAGGAGTGATGATCTGATGAGAGATCAATGAATTATAGACCATTAGAATAATAGATGTTGTAACGCCTATACTATTTCTGTTTATGCTTATGTATTGTATTGACAATGACATCCCAACGTTTTTAATATAGTAAAAACACATTTCTTCATAAATGCTTTGATAATTTACTTATCATATTTTTTGGAACAAATTCCGTAACATATTTCTTCAAAAGGATACTCTGATTTTCAAATAAAGCATAAACAAATCGGTCTTTTCTGGCCGAGAAAAAGGGGATGTCACAGTTGGTATCAGAGCATTAGTTTAAGCAAATTAGGAATTTGTAGGATTTCTAGACTTAAACTTATAATGCTAAGGGCCGATTGTGAGATGAGTGTCTGCTATATTTTAGACACAAGCACTAGCTTATTTTAGGAAAGATGCCTAAATTGCTTTTATGTGCTAAATGATTTATGTTATAGATAGAGGGATGCCTTATATGCTATTTCTAAATGTTCGACTACGATATTAGAACTAGCATGTAACTTTTCAGAGAGACAAGGAGGATTTGAACGTCTATCGTAAATAAAGATCTAAATTCGCCTACTTTGGTGTATAGATCGATATGGAAAGA